GATGCCTAAACAATTTATGTTAGTAATTGAATAATAAAGGAGTACGGTAACCTTTTATGTTGGCATTATGCTTGGCGATGATTATATATGACATTACATTAAATGAGCTAAAACTGTTGACGAAGAAAAATATACCAAAAATTTTTTTCCATATGCTAAAAATAGATTCTGTTAACTATACTCATAGACCCAAAGATTACATTTAAGGCTATTTAAATTAAGAATAATTGATTTGTTATTCACAGAAATCCAGAACCAGTGCCAGGGCTCGTATAGCCGCACCGAGTCGCAGAATTTAGGACCCACAGAGGCTGTATCAGGCAGTAAGATATCTAGTGCCGGCCCTCAATAAGGCTTAAGAATATGTGAAAATTTATTTATTTAGAACACTGATAAGTCTTAAGCATGTGAAAGAAATAGACATAAGTATAATAAATAACTAAATTAGTACAATTCATGCTTAATTGTCTTAGTGTGCGATAGAAGCAAGATAAAATTTAACAGAACAACAGATTGTTAGTCGCCAAGCTCATGAAGGATATCTAAATTTGATGATGACAGTCGCTAATTTTAAAGGTTTTTGGATATCTCAAAACAAAGGTGAAATTTTACAATGAATGAACTCTGTAAGGAAGTGTGGAGAAGCGGAAATAAATGAAGATGATATAAATTTTTCATTGTGAATGACAATGCTTCTGAATCATAAATGAATTAATGAATGGCAAAATCTGTCATATGGTTCTAGATCAAGACAATACTGCTACTGATAGTGAAGAAAGTGACAGAATAATTGCGACGTTTCCGTAACCGGCACTTGGCGAAATTTCGGATTTGTTTACATCGGAAGAGAGCGTACGTGCGCCAGAATATGGCAACTCTGATAATTGTTGCAACCCACACAGGGAATTTTCTGTTTACTATTCGAACATTATGGTAATAGAAAATAAAGTTTGAAAATCGCAAATCATTATTAGTTCATATTTTGCAAAACGTATATGGGGTTTTGGGAGTTAAAAAAATAAAGTTTAAAAAACGCAAATCATTATTAGTTCATATTTTCGCAAAATGTTTATGGGGTTTACTTTTCGAACATTACGGTAACAGAAAATAAAGTTCCCATAAACATTTTGCAAAAATATGAACAAATAATGATTTGCGATTTTCAAACTTTATTTTCTGTTACCGTAATGTTCGAAAAGTAAACAGAAAATTTCCCTTTTCCTCCTTCAGGAAAATTCCCTGTGTGGGTTGCAACAATTATCAGGGTTGCCATATTCTGGCGCACATACACTCTCTTCTGATGTAAACAAATCTGAAATTTCGCCAAGTGCCGGTTACGGAAACATCCCCGCATTTAATGTAATTTAAACAATTTCACTTAATATTTCTTAAACTTGTGCTCAGCAAAAAAATATATTTTTTCTTATAACTTGCAGTTCTGAAAATCACATATTTGAAAACATTAAGCAGTTGTTTTTAATGTAATTTAAGCAATTTCATTTAATATTTCTTACACTTGTTCTCAGCAAAAAAATATTATATTTTGTTTTTCTTATTATTTGCAGTTATCCTGATAATTAGCAGATCATATCTGAAGGAACAGCGATGAGTAGTGTTCAGGATGTCACCATAAATTCGGTAAGTTCGTGTCTTCTTGTTTTTTGCACGTTTGGTAGGTTAGACTTGTTTTCCCTCTCCGATTTCCCTCGGACAGGGAAAACAATTTTCGCCGCCATCTTGTATTTAAAAACGTGCCTTTCCAAGATGGCGGGCAAAAAATCGCCAAGTGTCGGTTAAGGAAAATTTGCCAGAAAAATTACTGAAAATGAGAAAATTTCGATTTACTAGTCAGAGTTCTCGAAACAGCAGTTGCAGGACTTCAAAAATGTAACTAAACAAGAGATTATGTCTGTCTACAGAATTAAAAAGAAAGTATTAGCACAAAAACAAAGCAACTTAAAGAACTTACGGCAGTTTTCGGATAACCGGCTCTTGGCGACCTGGCTACGGCAGCCGGTGGGGGCAATCACTGCCAAACCCGGCTACCAACCCCGACAACTTTCTGCTGACGTTTAGGTAACTGATGATCCAATATCCAGAAAAATCCCAAATCTGGAATTGCCGAAGTCCCAACGAGTCCGGATTTCGGACTTTGTACTGTATAAAGTTGCAATGGGACGTTACATAAACATTGCAGTGCGACTTCACAACATCACAATGTGATTTCACATTGTCACAGAATGCAGACACTAAGCCATACCTAGAACACTACTGTGAGATTGAGATTGTCACAGTGCAACATGTTTGCATTGCCACAGCAACATCACTGTGCTGTTGGGATAGTGTTGTCTACTGGCCACTGTCAAATTAAATGTCTCGTTTCAAACAGCACAGCACGCTGCACCAAGAGGAAAAATTTTTAGAATTTAGAGAAGGCACCATGCAGCAAAAATTAGGGATTTATAACTTAGGAGCAGCATTGAGCATCAGAATTAAGAGGTGGCAACATTTTTAGAATTTAGGGAAGGAGTGAGCAGCGGACTTTAGGATTCTCAGAGATTTCACAAAGCAGCAAAATGCCAAGCACCAGCCTTGCATAACATTTATCTAATTTAATGGTATCAAATGTTCATTAAATTTGTGTGACAAAACCATAAGAAAATAGCATTTTATCATAAAATCTACATTTATATTTTATTCTGTAAAGCAAATTGGGTATTCGTGTATTAGCAAAAGTACCTAACAAGAAATTACAAAATTTTCACAATGCACCAAGATCAGGCAATCATGCAGGTAACAGTTCTTCAGCTTCAACCTCTTATTGCACTCAAATGAGCTAGCTTACATATACCAAACTAAATTATTTCTGCATGCCCAAGTAAATATGCTCAAGAACTTTTTCATATATAAATACCACACAATATATCTGCTACAGTTTTGTGTTTAAAAAAAGAAAGAAAAAAAAAAAAAAAAAAAAAGGCTAAAATCACCTTTGAATTTTTATTGGTGCAAAAATAATCATTCTTCATGCATTTTGTCTTGCAATATTCCAATGATTCCTAATGATATTTACTATTAATATTAATAATTCCTAATTATTCAAGCATCCTGACATTTCTTGCTATAAAATCAATTCAAAAATAGGACTGCTTTGAGACATGTGCCTTTATGCAAGAAACTCCAATTTCTGCAAGCATTTTGCTGCCAAAATCACTAAAGCAAACAACTGCTTTGAAACTACCCTTAAAGCAATTGCCATGAAATTCCTACTTGAATAAACCTCTCCCTAAGAATATTTTACCAGTTTGGTTGATTTCCTGGATAAATACCTCATGAAAATATAAAATATATATGTAATAATATGCATGCATATAATAATTTTTTTACAACCATAAGTCATAATTCTTTTCTACTGTAAACAACTGCCAAACTGTTCTGCATATGGTGCAAAGCAGTTGCACTAATATGCAAGTGCCGATTATCTGAGTATCCCCAATTATATTAAAATTCTTTTTTGGTTAAATTATATAAGAATTATGGGAAAAATAAAACTTTCAATTCTTTAATTTTCCCACCAGTAGTCAAGCTGATTGCTGAATACTGGTAATTTAACTTGGGTTCATATTCCAGTAAACAGGCTGACTGTGGGAGCTTTTAGGTTTTTCTTAATGCATAATGTGAACAAAAACCAATTCCCCTTAAAAAAATCCTCTATGAAGGCATTCCTAACCTTAAATGAATAGTTCTTGCCTATTTACTTGGAATGAGCTGCCAAATGTGATCATGTTTATCCTGGGCTATTTTGATGACATTAAAAGATGAGGAAAAAATATACTTCAAAACAGAAATGAAATTTAACTAATTTAATATAAATGCAACAAGAAACATATAAACGAATACTTTCAGGGAATTTTTGAAATTATTTATGAATAGTTCATAACATTTATGGAAATTATTTGATAGATGGTATACTTTAATTCTTAATATTTAAAAGGCATCCCTTATTCGCTGGAAGAGAACATGCAAATATAAAATTTACAAATAAGCAAAAAAATCATCCCTAGTTTGCGCTTCATACCTCCAATAGGCAAATAGCCCTTGCGTGCTTTGGCCACAATCGGATAAACCAAAATATCTAATTAATAACCTACATTTCCTTCATCATATCTAAACTAACGATTAATATTTTACCAATAATTTTACACATAAATATGCACAGTTCATACCGATGATTACACTGACATATGAACAAGAACAGATTTATAAACTAAATATGCAGTTAGGAGTTCAAGCGAATAATTCATATTGATTTAAGCTAATCCTTTTGATATAATCAAACGTTAGATTTAAAATAATAAATAAATGAATTATTTGAAATTTCCTTCCGGATATATCAAAAGTGTGAAGAGTAAGTTCGTCAACCTTGCTTTCAAGTTAGATTTTGGTTTGGTTTACTTGATTATCGGAAGCACTGGAGTATCTGCCTAACTAGATTTATGATTTTGTTACAAAGTTAACAAAATAATAACAATATCAATTATCCATACACACATCTACAAATTTCAAGATTAACCATGGTCTGTTTTGGACCGTGGTGCTAACCCTTATAAATAATTCCGTATTGAGATAATTTCCAGCTGATGGTAGGTGGCTTCTGAAAGTTGGGTGTTTTATGTTTTGGTCTTTTTTACTTACTTTTATGTAACTGTTTAATGCACGTAGCAGCATTTTGTAATAAAAATAATAATTTCTGCACAGCTATCATTAGCATTTTGTAATTCAACTTTAAAGTTTTAGATTTCCCCCTTCTTCATTGGCGTATTTCTAATCCCTATTCCATAAAATGATTCTATAATACTCATTCCGGAGTTTCTTCAATTCTATTATCGTCCCTAAACATTGGAATTAACAACCGCAACCGGAAGTCGAAAACATAGAAAACAAATTTACCGATTTCACTCCTTCCGACTTTTCATTGCTAATACTAAAGGCACATTCGCCAGATTCTTTGTATTCGCACTGCGCAATGTCGATAACAAGCCAATCACGTGAAAGGAAATTGATGCGATAGAAGACTAATTAATAAGAGATTAAAAGTGTGATAAACTTACATAAAAGTAGCTAAAAAATAGTTTTTTTATTTATAAATTAACTAAGTGAATGTGCTCATCTTTAGATAAGTTTAATACTGTCCCAGCATACCCGGCAGACGATTTCCGCCATCTTGTTTATTTTCATGACATGAGGTAGAACTTGCCGTCCGACGAACACAGGATAATTAATTGTGTGAGCTTTCTATCGGTGAGCATTAAACTAAATTTGCTGACTTCTTTTTGGTTTGTTAATCCGGTGTTCGGGTGTTAATGCCTTCCCCTTCCAGGGGGGTTGACACCAGCAGACATTGGGCGAATAGCGAGCAAGTATTTTAAAGTGAGTGTGTCTGGAAAGAATTTGACGACTGGTTCGGGAAAGGAGAGAACAGTAATCCATATAAAATCCAAGAAAATTAAAGAAGGATTCTATTATCCTGTTTCTAATATGAACCACTTAAACCAAGTTGTTTTTGATAAACATTGTCGCCTTTCTGAATCGGAAGAAATGGACACTCGTGAAGGTGATTATGATAATGATTTTCCGATGAAGACGCTCATACATTGTTCTTAGCCTTTTAATTTTTTATGCATTCTAAAAGTATGCTAAATTACTCTATATATTTATTTACGATTAGATATTCATATAAGTGTAATTGAGTGTTTATTTAAATGTATGTTGAGTTATGCCATTTTGAGTACGTAATAGTACAAACTGCATTTCACAAACTTGCATTCACTTTTTAGTGTTTATTGAATGCGTTGTTTTGTGTATCCTAATTCTCAGTTATATCTCTTGATGATCACTTTTATTTTATTAGTTTTCTTCATTTTAGTAAATTTTCAGCTGTTGGGAGCATTTGCGTTTTCCAGAATGTTTAAATATATAAATTTTTTGATTTCCTGTAGAAATACACTGTATCCTGTGTTACAATTGAAATGATTCAAATTTATGGTTATTATCTGAGTCGTAAATTACTATGTCGTAAAGGATGTGGAAATTTTTTTTTTTGTCAATATTGCATTTAATTGACTGCTTTTTGAAATAGGACTTCATTCTAAGCTAGAATTGATATACTCAAATGATTTATTAAAATTCTGCATTATGAAATACTAGTATTTGGACTCCTTAAAATTTGTCTTTAAGGGGTATTTATAATTGCTTAAAAATATAACCTGCATAGTTGAATTTTCTCATTTCATATGTTTTACAGCGTATCCTGTATCTGGGAAGTAAATTTAAGCCATCTTTAGACATGTATTGTTTCTAAGAGTGGAATTGTAAGTTCAGTATCATGAAACTTTAAAATATTTTCTTGTGTATGTAAAATTTAAACGTACTTAATGTGGTAAGTGATTATACTTAATTTTGTAAATTACTAGATGTACAGGATAAAGAATTTTAAATATAAAAGTTCTCTTGTTTCAGATAATTGCAAATGAGTGAAACCTTTTTATGTTTTATTTCTTTACCTGCCTATATTTTAATTGACTTCAATAAATAAAATATTCAAGTATAGAATTTTGTTAGTTGCTTATTCTTCATTTTGCCTTTACTTTGAAATGTTTTAGTTTGCTATTCTTGCCCGAGATTTGCCAGTTATAAATTTAATTGTACTTCATCATTAGCATATAATCTTCAATATATACACTTTTAAATTTATATGTTGTCTTAATTCATTCTTTAGATGACAATGGGCAGGTTCAGCCTGGGGGTGGATTTGAAGAGAGGTGTTTGAATGGTGATATTCAGGAAGGTAATTTAGGGAACCAAGAAGAAGCCATGGAGGAAGAAGGTAACTGTAAAATTTTAATAACTTGCATCCCATGAATATCTGAATTTCATAATCATTAATTTAAACAAAAAATCAATATAATTTGTATTGGATTTAAATGCATAAAAGTATAATTTATATGAAAACTTTGCAAAATTATTAACGCAGTAGCTTAATATATGTAATTATTTGAATTGTATGACATTTTTAAATTTCATATGTTGGAAATATTAACAAAGAATAAAGCTGCAACAATAAAAATATTTTATGTAAGCGTTCTGATCTCCTTTGAAGCTATTAAATTTCAGTAACTAAAAATAAGCCGGAAAACAAAAGTGCTTAAAATATGAGTGTTGTGCTTCAGATGTAAATATTTTATCAGATTAAAAAATATTTTTAATCACAATTTAAATCTATTTACTTATCAAGTAAGAAGGAAAGTTTAAATCAAGTACAGTCAAAATTCGTTAATCCGGACTCGTCGGGACTTCGGTGATTCCGGATTATCGATTTTTCCGGTTTATAGATCATCAGTTTAAATCTCATAAGATGGCATGCAGAAATTCTAAAATTAAAAATATGAAACCGTAATTTATGAAATAAAGAACAATTATGATCTAAAGGGTATCAAAATTTACAAAAAAAAAAAAAAAAAAAAAAAAAAGCATAATATATATTTGCTTACTTTATTAAACATTTCTTTCAATGTAAGTTGTTTAAGTTGCTTCATTTTATGTGATAATACTTTCTCTTTAATTCTATAAACAGACATAATTTCTTGTTCAGTTACAAAGTCTCGCTGTTCAAGTCCCGTTAATTGCTGTGCCGAGAATACCGACTAACTTGTCAATCAAAATTTTTTCGTTTTCACTAACCTCTCTGTCACATTCTTCATGTCTTTATCCATTTTTTGCAGCAATTCCATTTTTGTTTGTTGGACATCGAAACATACTTTCGTTTTGTAGATCCTTTGGAAGTTCCAGCATCGGAAATTCTATTTGACATAATCGAAAGTTCAAGTTTACTTTTATAAAATTGCTCTTACAGTCTGCAAAAAATAATAAGCGGGATCCGATTCGAAGATTAAGGAACAACGCAATCATTAACATTAACTGAAATAGATAATTAGATAAATTTAGCTTACACCGTCCATTATACATTAAACGCGCAGGCGAAAACATACTCTGCACTTGCGCACACGCATATGCGCAGTAGTCAAGGTCTTACGCGCACGCGTAAAACGCCTGTGCGCATGTGCCAATGCGGCACATGCGCAGAAAGTTTTTAGCTTTGAGGTCCGGATTATGGGTGTCCGAATTAACGACTTTTGACTGTACCGTCCGTTATATGTAAAAGCGCACGCGAAAATGTATTCTGCGCTTGCTCACACGCATATGCGCAGTCGTAAAAGGTCTTTACGTGCAGGCGTAAACGCCTATGCGCATATGTCAACACGGCGCATGCGCAGAAAGTTTTTAGCTTTGAGGTCCGGATTATAGATCATTCCGGATTATGGGTGTCCGAATTAACGACTTTTGATTGTAATAGGAAAAGTTTTATTTTGAAATTCTTACCTTTATTTTGGAATCAGAAATATTTTTAATTAGGTAGATTTTATATCATATGCTAAAAAGTCTAAAAGACAGAGAAAATGTACTTTAGTTCATTATTTGGTACAATTTGAAATCATTTTGGTGCATTAGTGTGTACTTTCTTCCGTAGGAGGATAAACATTGGTAATATAAGACTGGAGTGTGCTGAATTTTTATCTTTTATTGAATGGTAGTTGAAGTTTCTTGTTATATTTTCCCATAAAAGAGATTTACATTCACCCTCTACATGATTAGTACACACTGGTTATCAAAATTAAAGTATAATGACAGGAATAAAACATAACTGATGCTAAATGAAACATTAATAGAAATTTTTGCAGAAGCATTAGTTAACATAAATTACAATGTTTGGCAGTTGATTATTTGCAAAATGTTGAAATTAAAACAAGATTTATGGAAATTTGAAAATGATGGAAAAATAAAACCACCTTTTTTGGGAATTTTTTTTCTGTAATATAGTGTATGATCACGTCAGACAGATTTGCACATCTCGTATCTTGATTTTGTAGACTTTATTTACCAAGTGTCGATCAAATCTTGTAGAATTGTATGCCACTCTTTTAAAAGTGCACTTTTCAGCTCTGGAGGGTCTGGGGTGGAATTAGGCTCCCTAAGGCATCCCACACATGCAAGTTGGGTGATAAGGTGGCCAATCAATTTGAGTGAAATCTTCTGTTTGCAAGTATTCTGACACCACATATGCTCAATGAGGCCGAGCATTGTCATCCTTTAGCGAAATCTCTGGGCCAACAGCACCCATAAACAATCTACGTTGGGATTCTAATATCTTGTCAACATATCTCCAAGTGGTTACAGAACCTCCTTAAAAGATATGCAGTATATTGTGGCCATTTGTCATGGTTTCTCCCCAAACCATTAAACCACAGTCACAGAAATGGGATATTTTATGGACAAAGGAACCAAGTTGCATGTTCCTTCCTCTCTCCAGATCAAAACACATCTAGAATCACTGTTTAGACTACATATAGACTTGTCAGTAAACAATACTCAGTCCCAGTTGTCTTTCCTCCATTGAACATGAGAACGGAACCATTGTAAATGGCTCTCTCTGGAAGTTGAAGTGAGTGGAACGCAAATCATTGGTTTTTCTCGCATACATTCCAACCTCGTAAAGCTTTTGTGTTGCAGTAGAATAATGAATTTGAGTTTGTGTTGCAGCCTGAAGGTCTAAAACAAAATCTATAGTAGTTGCGTCGCGGTTTATTCAAACCTTCAACATCAGGAAATGGCCTTCTAATGCAGTTGTTGCTGTTGATCGTCCTTGACCAGGCTGTCTATCAGCTGATCCAGTTTGTGATTTTTTCTTAAAATCTCTAGAGCTATATGTGTTAGCCTGTACTGCTAAGGTTTGAGCCATGTCAGGTCTCTGCAATTCTCTGGTGTTTTATTAAGTGGAAATATATCACTGTATTCTCGTATATACACACACACACACAAAAGGAAAGGTTTGGAAATATTTTATTTTTCAATATATCACGTAACCCTTATTTAAAAATTAAAAGTTTCAATTTATGTTGAAATGTATTAACTTTTCATAAGTTGATAATGTTTGCCAACCTGCAGTAGTTATCTATACTTCAGTAATCTTTTTGAAAAAGTCGTGAAAACCTCGATCTTGCACACAATATATAGCTTTCACCATTTCGTCTGTGAAAAACTGCTTGATTGCACCAAGGTTGTGTTAATACGTAAGTACCTAAAGAGAGTTGTGCAGATTTGCATACTTGCAGAAAATTATAATTTTTCATTCAAAACTAGCTGGGGTAGCCGGCTTCCCTCAGGGAGTTGACATGAGATTGTAGTAGTTGGAATAAAAGAATGAACTTTAAAATGTAAGATGTAAAATTTTTATTGAAAATAAATTCCAACTATTTACAATACTTGTTTATAAACGACATTTTTCATTTTGTTATGTGGGGCATATGCACTCATTGCCATAAAAATTTGCTCACCAAGAAAGAGTTGTAAGAGTGAAACGAAATTTTACATATGTAAGTACTACTTTGATATAAGTAAGCGATTAGAAAATCAAAGAAAAAGGATCATTTATTGCGAAAAAAAGTACACATGAATGGAAGTTTTAGTACTCTATTGGACCTCCTCTAGTGCGAATGCAGGATATGATACGAGCAGGCATTGAGGCATATGAGTTCTGTATGGTGTCCGGACACATCTCATTCCACAGTTGCTGTAAATGTGCCTCTAGTTCGGCTAATCTCGTCTGTCCAATTTGCCGTCTCAAATGATCTCAGATATGCTGACAATTCTGGGAATCGAGCAGGCCAGGTAAGGGTGTTAATGTGGCTGAGGCAGCATTTTGAGATCCATGTTGTGTGTGGTCAAGCATTGTTTTGTTGGAAACAGGCTCCTAGGAACCCAGCCATGAGTGGCAACACACGTGGCTGAAGGATGTCATGGACGTACCACTGGTCAGTCATTGTGCCATGCATCAATACTAGGGGTAACTGTGTATCGTAAGCAATGGCACCCCATACCATCACACCAACTGTGGGAACAATGTGTCACTGTAAAGCGAAGGCAGGATTGAGGTGTTCACAACGGGCCTCCAAACACAGATGCGATTGTCATCACTGGTCAAATAGAATCTAGATTCGTCGCTGAAGACGACCTTGTTCCATTCCATTAAAGTCCAATCCTGTCGTGTGCGACACCATTTCAAACAGAGGCGTTTGTGGGTGGGTGTCATTGGCAGCACATGTAATGGGCACCGCTTTACTAGGTGTCCTTCAACCAGGCGCTTTGTGATGGTTCGGGAAGACACAGGGGCCCGCAGTGAAGCTGCTGCCTGTGTCTGGATAGCAGCCAATGAGGCAGTTGGCTCTATGCATGCTAATCGCTTGATGTGACTGTCTTCTTGATGACTGGTTTGTCAAGGGCGTCCTGAGCCTGGTCACTGTGTAAATTACGTCTCTTCTGTCCACTGGTTCCAACACTCCTCACAGGGAAATCAGAATGGCCTACCTTACGAGCTACTCACCGAGCTGACTACCCAGCTTCCATCATCTCAATGATTCTTCCCCTCTCAAACTCTTGACAGCTGCTGATATTGTCTTTGATGGCGGCATAACGGCATGTCTGCCTTAGCGTTTTCTTAGCAAAAGATTAAGTACGCTCAAACAAGCTGTACTTACCTGTTTTGTACTCCAAGAACAACTGAAGTTCAATGACCTCTAGTGGCATTATGCAGTGCGTAGTCACGTTGCATTTATAATCATTTGCATATCTACCCGACATGTACCTTCATGCCAAGTTTCGTTTCGATCCCACAATTATTTCTTAGTGCCCAAATTTTTATGGCAATGAGTGTATGTACACATTTTTCGAATTTCCTACTCGAGAGCAAGCTATGTATTGCTGACTGTGAGA